CAAAGGCAACCTCCCGGGTATGTTTTCTCGGCGTCGTCTGCAGAAGCTTCTGGAGGAAGAAGTCTACCGGAACATGGCTCTGGCGCTGGCTTTTGACAATTTCACCAGTTCACTGCAAGGACAGGATGATGAGGAAGGCGCTTTAGAAGAAGTTGTGAGTATCTCTCTCCCCCATTTTTACTGATACGTACTGCATCACCTCTGCTTGGCTGGATTGGTCATCGGTTAGTCGAGTTCTGCTGATTTGTCTCCGCGCTGTGAGCAAGTATCGTGCGGACAGTATTTGCAGTTTAGTGCACATCTCACAAAGCTTTGTGAAGTTCATAAGGCTCCATACTAAAACCATCCTCTTTAAAATACGACTACTTATGTATTTGCCGTTTTTACCATTTATTTCCGATGCCCTTATGCATTTTATAGAAAGCATGCTGAAAATCATCCTCGCTCGTATTTACCTGGTAGTAGGTAACGGTTTCACATTTTATACTCGAAGGAAAGTTGTCTGTCGGGTTAAAAAAAATAAGTTTTTCAATGTAGGATATTTATGGACCGTGAAACGTCCACCTTCTTATCATTGGATGTGTACATTTGTCCATGCTCTTTATGAAGTGTTTCACGTAGTTCGCATTCATTGCCAAATTTTTGGGGCCCAATCTTGTATCTTCTTTATAACACAGAGGTCTGTGTGATTTTCTTTTACTTGGGAACTGCACAGCTTGCAGGCTGTAGGCCATTCACGTAAAAGTGACGGACTCAAAATCATTGGGATTAAGATCATGGCTCCCAGTGGGGTCTCGTAGCTCAGTTGACTAGAACGTTGTTCGATTCAGTTCATTTAAGGGAAATGTAGGTGTGTGCCTTTGAACTCCCTATTTTCGTACATGCATTTTGTGATATCAAAAAACAGTTTCTCAGCATATTACCGCTGCCAACCGACATGAGCCAGTGGGGTCCAACAAAGGAAAAAAAGAGCAGAAAATTAAAATAATCTCCTTAGGCTTTGTTTTAGGAAAAAAATACTGCTGCACTTGGGTAAAGGGGGTAGTACGCTAGGTCAAGTTGGGGAGGGAAGCACAGGTTTTACCGGGCTCATTACCGAAGTGTTGAAGCAAGGGTCAGATACTCCCTTGCTGGTGGTAGAGTCCACCGACAAGGTTGCAGAAACAGAAGTATCTGCCACGATCGTCGGCAGTCCATTTTGGGTCGAAGGAAGGGCGAACGTTTACGACCGCCCAGACTAGGATCGCAAATCATGGTAGGTGCAATCGCTGAGGGGATCGTCGCGGTTCGGATACAGTCCGATAAGGAAGACCGCGAAGACCTTCGCCTGAGAATGATGATGATGAGAGAGCGTAAGCGGTTAGTTGTGCATAATAAAGTATTATAATTTTTACGGACGTCAGGATGACTTCGGTCGAGTGGTAGTGTAGGTCACCCTACTATAATAAGTTATCCAATAAATTGATGTTACTAGACTATAGCTAGTAATATACCTATAATTATTTGTCGGATGTCAGCGTTCTGGTGTCATTGTAGCGCTTACTACTATACCGCTCCTGTTTCCGCTTAAAAACATCTAGAGATTCTGACATAACGATATATAGAAGCATAGCATTCCGAGCTTTGACCACTCTGTTGAAGAAAAGTACTTCCGAGTGTCCATCTTGGCCCCTGTCACGTTATTTGAGAATATGTCTTCTCAAGTTCGTTGTTGTTGCTAACTAAGAGAAACCTTCTCGTAGAGTACAGCAGTTTTCAGCACATAAAATATGGAATGTTATATCAGGTACTCTAGTAGCTACCTTTAGCTCAAAGGAAAGAGATTGAGATTAGACAGCCGTTTATCGTAGGGTATTTATCCCTGTCCAATGGCAAGTTTGGTTACACGCCTTTGGACTTTCTCGAGGATGTTTAGGTCTATCGCCATCTAGGGTATCCAAGCTTGGATAGCGCGCTCCAGTTACGGCCACACGAAAGTTCGGAAGATTTTAGCGAAGTTGTCTTCATCAAAGGCAGAGGAAGCCCGATTTAGGTTCTCTTTGGCTACACGTCCATTTTAGTAAAAAAATGTAGCCGTAACTATACGCAACAAAGTTAGCACGTACTTAAGCAATCCTATAGTTATGTTTTACCCTGTATACCCGTTTTAAATTTTCTTGGCGAGGTTTATTAAGACTCTTTTAAACTGTCATTTAGACTGCCC